ATCTTTGAAATTCTAATTTGCAAACCCAGACCTTTCCAATATAACTTTGAAAATCTAATTCTGAAGCTAATAACAATTCAATACATTGAAATTCTTATTCCGAAGCCAATATCTCTTCAATACATTGAAATTCTTATTCTGAAGACAAGACCTCTCCAATACATTGAAATTCTTATTCTGAAGCCAAGACCTCTTCAATACATTGAAATTCTTATTCTGAAGCCAAGACCTCTTCAATACATTGAAATTCTTATTCCGAAGCCAATACCTCTTCAATACATTGAAATTCTTATTCGAAGCCAAGACCTCTTCAATACATTGAAATTCTTATTCGAAGCCAAGACCTCTTCAATACATTGAAATTTTATTCTGAAGCCAAGACCTCTTCAATACATTGAAATTTTATTCCGAAGCCAATACCTCTTCAATACATTGAAATTTTATTCCGAAGCCAATACCTCTTCAATACATTGAAATTTTATTCTGAAGCCAAGACATCTTCAATACATTGAAATTCTTATTCCGAAGCCAAGACCTCTTCAATACATTGAAATTCTTATTCTGAAGCCAAGACCTCTTCAATACATTGAAATTTTATTCCGAAGCCAAGACCTCTTCAATACATTGAAATTCTTATTCTGAAGCCAAGACATCTTCAATACATTGAAATTCTTATTCCGAAGCCAATACCTCTTCAATACATTGAAATTCTTATTCTGAAGCCAAGACATCTTCAATACATTGAAATTCTTATTCCGAAGCCAAGACCTCTTCAATACATTGAAATTCTTATTCTGAAGCCAAGACATCTTCAATACATTGAAATTCTTATTCCGAAGCCAATACCTCTTCAATACATTGAAATTCTTATTCTGAAGCCAAGACCTCTTCAATACATTAAAATTCTTATTCCGAAGCCAATACCTCTTCAATACATTGAAATTCTTATTCTGAAGCCAAGACATCTTCAATACATTGAAATTCTTATTCCGAAGCCAATACCTCTTCAATACATTGCAATTCTTATTCCGAAGCCAATACCTCTTCAATACATTGAAATTCTTATTCTGAAGCCAAGACATCTTCAATACATTGAAATTCTTATTCCGAAGCCAAGACCTCTTCAATACATTGAAATTCTTATTCTGAAGCCAAGACCTCTTCAATACATTGAAATTCTTATTCCGAAGAAGTCAATACCTCTTCAATACATTGAAATTCTTATTCTGAAGCCAAGACCTCTTCAATACATTGAAATTCTTATTCCGAAGCCAATACCTCTTCAATACATTGAAATTCTTATTCTGAAGCCAAGACATCTTCAATACATTGAAATTCTTATTCCGAAGCCAATACCTCTTCAATAAATTGAAATTCTTATTCTGAAGCCAAGACCTCTTCAATACATTGAAATTCTTATTCTGAAGCCAAGACCTCTTCAATACATTGAAATTCTTATTCCGAAGAAGTCAATACCTCTTCAATACATTGAAATTCTTATTCTGAAGCCAAGACCTCTTCAATACATTGAAATTCTCATTCCGAAGCCAATACCTCTTCAATACATTGAAATTCTTATTCTGAAGCCAAGACCTCTTCAATACATTGAAATTCTTATTCCGAAGCCAATACCTCTTCAATACATTGAAATTCTTATTCCGAAGCCAATACCTCTTCAATACATTGAAATTCTTATTCCGAAGCCAAGACCTCTTCAATACATTGAAATTCTTATTCTGAAGCCAAGACCTCTTCAATACATTGAAATTCTTATTCCGAAGCCAATACCTCTTCAATACATTGATATTCTTATTCCGAAGCCAATACCTCTTCAATACATTGAAATTCTTATTCCGAAGCCAATACCTCTTCAATACATTGAAATTCTTATTCCGAAGCCAATACCTCTTCAATACATTGAAATTCTAATTCTGAAGCCAAGACCTCTTCACTATATATCTTTGAAATGCAAATCCTGAAGCCAAGACCTTTCTCTTAATGGTATAGACTCTAAATATCTACTTACATTTATATGACATATTTAAACGCGGAAATACACGAAAATGTAGTTTCTCTACGTCTCAGTGGTTTTCACAAAGCAAAGATTATAGAATTTTTTTTTTTTTTTATCATTTCCAGTTATAATGATTTGATACCATGTTTTATCTTTTTTCTTTACCCGAAACTAAATATAAAAGAACTACTATGTGAGTTGTTCCCATGAACGCTGGCTTACGACCACATCCGTTTGAAACACCGGTTCTCGTACATTCATCGAAGTTAAACAACGTCGAGCCTGGTCAATAACTAGATGGGTGACCGATTGGAAATAACAGGTGCTGTAATTTTGGGCGTGCTTATGGTGCAAGGATAACAGCTGGGAATAAGAAATTGGAGGACCGAGTTCCAATACCTGTCATGTTCGTTATATACACTTACAAATAATATTGGAAAAGGTGTGAATCCATCATCCCCCCATCTATGGGTTAATTAGTAGAATATGTATCAGTAAATCATTATTATCTAAAAAAAAAACAAAACATTCTTACAATCTAAAAGTAATTTCTGGGTTTCCCAAGCCTGTGGAAGGTGACAATCTTATCCGCGGTCTTAGAGAACCGCGGGCAACTGACCCTCACCAACTATAGACTTATTAGTTTCCTTACTATCATCAGTAAGCTTTTTGCGGTCTTAATCAAAAGGAAAGTCGATGAGCAACCTGGATAGGAACAACAGTATGGATTTCGATCAGCCCGAACCATTGCTGATGTTCTAACTACTATTATGCACAGAATTAGTGAGGCCTTTGACGACACACATTCTGCAAGAACCATTGCATTACATATTTCGATCTTCGACAATGAGTAGCACAATGATTTGCTACAAAGCAGGTAGTTATTAACAGCCAGTTCTCCGAGGCCCTAACGGTCAATACAGGCGTGTCTCAGAGGTCACTTCTCGGGCCAACCCTCTTTCTGACTTACATAAATGATCTACCTAAGTGTATACTCCGATTATTTGAAAACGTCTATGCCGATGATTGGACGATATACGAGCGCGACTCTAAAAGTCTTGATGATCAGAGATTGACAGCTGACCTCACTTCCGATCTCACACTAACTTCCCAGTAGGGAATAAAACTGGCTAGTTACATTCAATGACTCTAAAACTAAACTGATTACATTCCCTCACCGGCGATCAGACCACGAACTACCGCCAGTCACTATGAACGGATGTCCTCCTCGAGGAGGGACAATGCTTTGAGAGGATATTCGGCTTCACTCACACACAACCGCAAGTGGAACTAGTATATACGATCCAATACTAAAGATGCAGGTAAAATGATAGGCTCCCTGTACCGCTTCAATAAGTATCTGACCCCTCATGCTATCCTACCTTTATAAGAACGGGATCAGGTCGAAAATGGAGATGACCAGACCTCACTTTCCGATCTTGATAGAGTTCAAAAGCGTCTCTGAGTCTTTCTTGGAGAAGAATTATTTTTCACCATCTAACCTCTCTCTCTCTCTCACACACACACACACACACACACACACACACATATACATACATACATACACACACACATACATACATACACACACACACACCGACGCGAAGTTTCGAGTCTCACACTGCTCTGATTATTTAACCTGATGAAGTCTCTCAGTGAACAAAACGCTTTGGTAAAGAAAAGTTTTCCTTTTGTCTCTTTTATTCACATATATATGCTGTTTGGTAAATTTCTCTGACCTACCCTGCTAGAATTTGCTGCGTCTGTATGTTCACTTACCCCGCCCTCCCGATTATCTTATCCCAACAGGACCCATTCATGGCTTCTCTTGTAGACAATTGTGAGACCAAAGCAATTGCTCTCCAAGCACTTCTTCTTCCTCTTCCTTCTTTCTCTTCCTCTTCTTGTTGGTCCTGTTCTTCTTTTATTATTATTATTATTATTATTATTATTATTATTAAATATTACAACCAAGCACATTTTCTCTTATCATATCCCGAAATCTTGAGGGAACAATTTTGAGAATATTTTAGGAAAATATCAGATGCTACACTTTGTCTACAGATGATCAAAATCATATCTTGATGCCTTTGATATATATATCATATACCTACATAAGCAATTTTAAATTAATGATAATAATAAAAAATACCATTGTTATTATTAATATTATTATTATTAAATCCTTCCCAATATTTTGGCCAAATGATGATGCTCATATGTCAGCTCGTACTTGCAGCCTAGAGACACAACACTTACCCCAGTACATAAGTTGCCAAAATAGCACTTCCACTTGCACACGATCAATTGTATAAGGTATGCTCAAAACTTCTTGCAAGGCAGCGTTATTCTTGATGGCAGTCCTAAGTTCGCCAACCACAAAAAAATTACTTGAGTTGCTACAGATTATTATTATTATTATTATTATTATTATTATTATTATTATTATTTGCTTGTTTACTTTTTTTATTATCATTTTTGAAATTGTGATCCTGTCTGACTCTTAGATGTTTCGGCCGGGTGATGAAGGTCAAACCCCAACTCCTAGTCGTAGCTGAGAGATAGAACACTTTTGTGGCACCTGCGTACTCTTAATGAAGTCCTGTATCCCCAAGACATCTTGCGGTGGCAGACAGTTCTCGAGAATTATCCAGAGTGCTTCAAACACAAAAAAGATATCAAGAGCCCCTGCGTCCGATTTGCTCTGTCTGGTTACGGAACCTCTGTATTTTCACCTGCTCCGTCTTCACGATGTTCCTATTCCATATCGCCGGAGACGTAGTATCCAGCTAAGCCTTAACTGGTTACATTATGCGTTAGATTTGATATTATATGCTGCGATAGCTTGAAAATGAAAAAATTGAAATAGTCGCAACTATTGGACACGCAGATAAACACAAACGTGGATGGAGATAAGCGGAACCACCATTACAATAGATTCCTTTGGGGCTTTCTGAGAATAATTCCTGCCAACGACCATTCCGCTATGACCTTATCACCTTATTTACCTGTTCGCCTGTCCTTCTTTTTTGCTATCATTCGCCCAAATTGCAACGCCCACTTAACCACCAACAACTCCGCTGGAGTGAAAAACCTGACGCAAACCGGTAATTGCCGCCAAAAGTACGTTTCAACCTGTGCTTCGTCAGACATGTTTTTTTTTATTCACTGATCACGTTTTCTCAAGAATGAGCGCGAAAAGTACACGATGTTGCGAGATCAGTCATGAGACAATGAATAAGGAAAGATTAATGTATTTAGCAAAAATAATGCTATCCAATTTTTGTTTGTATTTTTCTTATCACTCATTTCATTCATTTCTAAAATATTTGATTTGTTTGCTATCTTTTGTATATTTCTTTTTTATTCTTTTTCATTTTATTCATTCTTTCATTGTATTGATTTTATTTGATATTTATATTTTTGCCTCAGATTTCTTTCTTTTTTCTTTCTATATTATTCTTTCTTTCCTTCTTTCTTTCTTTCTTTCTTTTTTCTTTCTTTGCCAACTTTACATTATAATTAACATCATTCTCACTCATTCTTTTCTTATTTTATTCTTTCTTTCTTTCTTTCTTTCTTTCTTTCTTTCCCAACTTCACATTATAATTGATATCATTCTAACTTATTCTTTTCTTATTTTATTCTTTCTTTATTTTTTTTTTTTCTTTCTTTCTTTCTTTCTTTCTTTCTTTCTTTCTTTCTTTCTTTCTTTCTTTCTTTCTTTCCTCATTTCACATTATAATTATTATCATTCTAAATCATTCTTTTCTTATCTTATTTTTTCTTTCTTTCTTTCTTTTTTCTTTCTTTTTTCTTTCTTTCTTTCCCGTTCCATTTCCTAATTTTCATTTTAATTTCTCGTTCCAAAATACTCTTTCACTTTTATCATTTTAAAATTATTCTAATTCTTTTTCTTTATTTTCTTTTCTATCTATTATATAAAATATATATATATGTGTGTGTGTGTGTGTGTGTGTGTGTGTGTGTGTGTGTGTGTGTGTGTGTGTGTGTGTGTGTTTTCCTGAAAAATTTATTTCGGTTGAACTCTCTTGAGAAGTGTGGCTTTGTAAACAGTGACTATTACAGCTAATAATGCGAGATTCTTCGGTGAATCGAATCGAGTTCTCTCTGTTATTTCTAAAAATAAATACGCTTAAATTCACTGCTTAGTGGTAGAATTTCCCGATTGACGCCAATTCAGTTGAGTTTTGATCGTAGCTAGAGGCAACCGGACGTCTAGCCACATTGATGCGCTGTGATACAGCGAAACAGTCTTTGGATGACAATATATATATATATATATATATATATATATATATATATGTGTGTGTGTGTTTGTTTGTTTGTGTGCGTGTGTGTTTGTGTATTGATGTAATAGGAAAGAACAGTTAGATTACTGATCCAAAATTCTTTATTAAAGCTTAAATTATAATTTGTTTTTTCTTAAGTAGAGCTTGAATTATAATCATATTTTTATAATTATTTTTCATAAAAAATAATTTTATATATATATATAAGTCGTCAATATCTACCAACTAGGTCTATATCTCACGAAGCCAGCGACAAATATTACTTTTAAAGCCCTAAATTGCTGATGAGTCCCAAATATAGGACGAAACGGCCGTCCATTGCTTTCTGCATTCTGTTGAGGTTTCTATCAGACTCGAAGAATTACTTAAATATAATTATCAAATCTTCCTAATAATTTCAATTATATATATATATATATATATATATATATATATATATATATATGTGTGTGTGTGTGTGTGTGTGTGTGTGTGTGTGTGTGTGTGATTGAAATTATTAGGAGGATTTGATAATTATAATTAAGTAATTCACCGGGTGTAACAGAAAAATTGTCCAAATACATTAACAGTAAGCAATAATTGTTCATCCCACAAAATGTTTAATGTCAAACAAAATTCCTTTTTTCCATGTTTTCAGGTAAGACGATTAACCATCTTGACACCATTTGTCGTAAGAATCGCTGAAAAAAAAAACATTTGAGTTATTAAACTACAAAGTGAACAAGTTAAAAGCGTTTTGTGTCAGCCCCACTGACTTCCCATATCAGCAATGGTGAGCGGACAAAGATCATTCAGGCCTTCAGTAATGGTACCAATATTCATACTCTGGTTTTCATCTTCAAAGTCCTTTGAAGAACTATCAAGAGAACGGTGAATATGTTTAAAAAAGAGGGAAGAGTAGAGAGGAAAACTAGACCAGAAAAAGATATAATCATTTCAAGTTAGAACTAAAGCGATTAATTAGAAAAGATCCAACTAAATCCATGAAGAAATCTGTGAGGCAGCATGTTACTCCAGGAGAGAAGGTTAAAAGTGCGACGATCTGGATTATATATATATATATATATATATATATATATATATATATATATATAATTTGAACTTTATTTTAATCCTTCATGATCTACCTATCCTTAGCTATGATTAATTAATGATGAACATGTCATTTTCATTTATGAACTATTTCATCACGCCCCTTCTGTTGAGCTTCGAGAGTAATTATACGTTCTTATTGCTCAAAAAACTGTCATAGAACCTCGGAGAAATCCAGTAAGATATTTAAGATAACGGTTCAAAGCCTCATCTAACAAATGGACAATTTTCCCTCTTTACACGATTTGCTGTTAACCCGGCACACACACACACACACACACACACACACACACATATATATATATATATATATATATATATATATATATATAAAGGCTCAAACACTAATATTCCATGGTTATAATTTATTGCATTGGAATCGTAATCACGATCCAATTCCTCAGACCTACAAATTCAAAAAAAAAAAAAAATTAATTTTTAGGTCTGATTTTTGGATCGTGATTACGATTCCAATGTAATAAATTATAACCATGGGATATTAGTGTTTGAGCCTTTTATATTATATTCTTACTCTGTCCTGGATATTGAGTTCTACCTGGATTCTATCCTCTTGGAATTTATATGTATTTAAATATATATATATATATATATATATATATATATATATATATATATATATATATATATATATTGTTAATATTATATATATCACGCTAGACTCTATCTATCTATCTATCTATCTATCTATCTATCTATCTATCTATCTATCTATCTCATTGCTGCTTTATATCTATCTGTCTATTTATCTATCAAAGCAGCAAAAACTTGGGTATTTTTCTGTTTCTATTTTAATCTTGTTTCTCTACACAACCTTCCCTTCAAACTTGTCCTTGCCTTTTCTTCTTTTACTGTAGTTCGTGATACCGTCATCGCTTTGGGGAAATCTATTTCACGGAGTCGCCTGCCAGTTGATGTAAATTTCCCGCCTGTTTGCTATTCTCATGGAATCCAGCCCCATTTGCTAAACGTATTGTTTGTTAGCGTTGTAATGTCACGCTCTCTCAATGAATGACGATATGACATTCTTTCAATTACCTATGGGGGATTTTTCACATTTTCCTATTTTGGTCGGAAGAATTCATCCAAACCCCCAACCATTCAGACATGTTTCCATTGTTTGTTTTCGCTCCTTATTTGGTTCTCGTACATCTTTCAGCTTCGTCTTTCTTTTAATCAGAAAGTTCGTTTCTTCATTTTCAAAAGAAATTCTTCTTGATTTCAGCTTTGCTTTACCGTCTGTCGTGCTCCTATGTTAGTGAAAAGGCACGGCTTTGTTTTTCTTTTTCTTTTTTTGTCTTTCTTTTTTCTTTCCTCCCAGTTTTATTCCTATTTTCTCGTTCGTTTCATTCATATCTGTTTTATCTTTTGTTATTATTTATTCTTTTGCTCATTCAACTCTCGTTTTTGTCCTGCTTTTTTCTTATTTCATTCATATTTACGTTCGTTTTTGATTCTTTGGCATATTCATTTATTTTTCTGTCGATATTTCTGAGATGCTGTATTTTAACTATTCATAATACTTACATCGTTCGGACTGTTGTTCTCATCTTCATTGCCACATTCACGACGTTTTGGCCATTGTACGCTCCGGCCTTCTTCAAGTGATATGTATTGGAATTTCGAACCGAACCCTTTATTTAGTCCACCGGTGGTTCTACTTCCAAATACATCACCTGAAGAAGGCCGGAACGTACAACGGCCGAAACGTCGTGAATGTGGCAGTAAAGATGAGGACAACAGTCCGAACGATATTATGTAAATCCTTTATTTTTCTTCTTTCATTACTTCGTTTAAGATTTCCATCTCATTCAGATTTACCTTCGGTTTTACTATTTTACATAATCTCATTCATCATTTCTTTTTCTCTCTCTCTCTTTTCTTCATTTCCTTCTTTCAAGTCATTCCTATCTGTCTTCATTTCTTCGCTCATTCACCAGTTTCTTTCTTTTCTTCATTTCTTCTTTTCATTTCATTCATTCATTCATGATTTCTTTCTTTCTTTTCTTCTTTTGAATAGAAGGAAAGAAAAGAAGAAAACCAATAATGAACGAAAGAATGAATTGAAAGAAAGAAAAGAAGGAAATAATGAGTGAAAGAATGAATGAATTGAAAGAAAAAATAGATAAAAAATGAAAAACAAAAGAATGAATTGAAAGAATGAATTGAAAGAAAAAAAGAAGGAAAAATGATGAATGAAAGAATGAATTGAAAGAAAGTAAAGTAGGAAAAAAGATGAATGAAAGAATGAATTGAAAGAAAAAAAGAAGGAAAAATGATGAATGAAAGAATGAATTGAAAGAAAGAAAAGTAGGAAAAATGATGAATGAAAGAATGAATTGAAAGAAAAAAAGAAAGGAAAAATGATGAATGAAAGAATGAATGAAAAAAGAAAAAAGTAGGGAAAAATGATGAATGAAAGAATGAATTGAAAGAAAGAAAAGTAGGAAAAATGATGAATGAATTGAAAGAAAAAAAGAAGGAAAAATGATGAATGAAAGAATGAATTGAAAGAAAGAAAAGTAGGAAAAATGATGAATGAAAGAATGAATTGAAAGAAAGAAAAGTAGGAAAAATGATGAATGAAAGAATGAATTGAAAGAAAAAAAGTAGGAAAAATGATGAATGAAAGAATGAATTGAAAGAAAAAAGTAGGAAAAATGATGAATGAATTGAAAGAAAAAAGAAGGAAAAATGATGAATGAAAGAATGAATTGAAAGAAAGAAAAGTAGGAAAAATGATGAATGAAAGAATGAATTGAAAGAAAAAAAGAAGGAAAAATGATGAATGAAAGAATGAATTGAAAGAAAAAAAGTAGGAAAAATGATGAATGAAAGAATGAATTGAAAGAAAAAAGAAGGAAAAATTATTAATGAAAGAATGAATTGAAAGAAAAAAGAAGGAAAAATGATGAATGAAAGAATGAATTGAAAGAAAGCAACACATGATGAATGAAAGAATTAATTGAAAGGAAGGAAACAAAATAGAAAAAAAAATATTTCATGTCATTCTTTGCAAGGTTGTTCTTCCTATTTTAATTCCTTTACTTACTGATCATTTTCTTTCTTTTTTTTTACCATTCTTATATTTAATTTAAATTTGCTTTCATTTTCAGTCCTTTGTTTTCGATATTTAATCCTTTCATAAGATTCTTTTCATATTTTATTCATTCAACCTTTTTTTTTTACCTTCTTGTCTATCTTCAATTCATATTTTCTTTCATTTTATTCTTTCCTTTCTTTTTCGATTTGTTTCCTGCTTTGTTTGATACTTTTGTTTTAACTCTTTTGCCAATTTTTCTGGTAGCAATAAATTATATAACACGTGAGGATTTGGAAGACAACGGCGAATAATAAAACCATAGATGTTTGCTTTTTTCATAGCATTCAAGGTGTTTGATGTACCAAAATATGTTAACGGCCTTCATAGTACCTGCTGTATTTATATATATTTAGCCAAACTTTGAAAACAAGAAAATAAGGACAGCTGGGGCGTAGTCAAAACTAGTCATATGAAATGTTTTGGTTTTATATATATATATATATATATATATATATATATATATATATATATATATATATATATACGAGGTATGTCTGCTAAAATAGCTGTATTCTGTGTGAACTATAGGCGAAAGTAAGATAAGGAGATTGTGTTATCATGTAACACGATAACTTGGAGGTATATATCTGTAATCTCGCTTATTTGACACTTATTTACTTAGCTTAAAACGAGGGCCCTGTTGTGGGACTCCCAGTGAGAACCAAAATAATAAAACCCCTGAATTTATTAAGCCTAGGGATTTCTTATAATCTTAATCCACGCGAATGTCACTATGTTGATGGCAGTCTCAGGAAAAGAAATCTGACACAATATATTGATTGAGTTGTTTTTTACGGCTTATCAACCTATCGCTGGTTATTTAAAGCGAGAAAATATTTTATTTTGTAAGAACTTCTTTTGGAAATAAGAATGATTTACTGATAGAAATCCGACTAATTAATACATGGATTGGACTAGAAAAGGTGGATTCATACCTTTCCCAAGGGTATTTGCGGTTACGTGAATATAACGAATCCGGCTGGATTTGGAACTCGGCTCTCCGATTTCCAATTCCGAGCCGTTATTCCTTACACCACCCGTACATCCATTCTAAAAACACCTGCTTTATTAGAAAATATAGTACAGATACCAAGAAAGAAGAACTAACTGTGACCTATAATACACAGAATACATTATTGTATAAAAAAACACACACAAAAACCCCAAAGGCAGTGAACTATAATATTCTACAGATATTTAACTTCCTTGATATGGTAGTAAAATTCGAGAGAAAATGGAACACACATATGAAAAGGTGCATAGAAAAGTCAAATGATGCCTTATAAAATCTAAGCAACAATATTTCTTTTCTTTGTAACGAAATTTTCATATATTTTAATACGTTTCATAGTTTCTGTATCTGCTTTGATACAAAGCTCACCCCATGGACTATCTTTGTTTTTAATGTGTTTTTTTTTTACACTAGTTCATTATGTGTATTATAGCTCAAAGTTAGTCCTTCATTCTTGCTCTCTGTGCGACGTTGTCTCAGAAAGTAGGTGTTTTTTGAGAATGCCCAAAATACACATCTTTAAAAAGGTTTTTGGAAGTAAGTAAATGCAAGGCTATCAAAATAGAAATTAACCGAATTGAACACGTCAGGACACCATTGCCCTTTTCGAATTGGAGCTTTGGGAATTATATAAGAAGGAATAAACAAATATATAGATCAAATTTGTAGTCGATCTAAAATATAGGTATTATAAAAAGAAAATCATGCTGATATTTAATTCTCTCATCTTTCGTAGATTTCTTTCCAAGGAACGTCCACAATTCCATTTCCACACTTTCCTCAACTCTAAAATTGCATCGAAACTCATCTATTTAAACCTATTACAAAAGCCTTATCGTCTCTTGAAGTCTCTAGTTGAGACTTGGATGTAACTCATAGTAAACAAAGTAAAAACGCAATAATAATAATAATAATAATAATAATAATAATAATGAAAGCTGAAACTGAAGGTTTTATCCTTGCTGCACAGGACCAATGCTTGCTAACTAGGAATTATCAAACACATATACTAAAATATTGTGTTATCCCAAAATGCAGATTCTGTGATAAATATCCAGAAACGATTAATCATCATGTATCAGGTTGCACGATATTGGCACCCACTGAATATAAATCCCGGCATGATAGAATGGGCCAATATCTGCACTGGAAAATTTGCAACTTCTACGGGAAGGAAACTGAAAGAAACTGGTATGAACACCAACCAGACCCTGTTACGGAGATAGGTTCTGTTAAAATTCTATGGGATTACACAATACACTCTGATAGAACAATCAAAGCCAACACCTTAGGCATTGTTATTAGAGACTACAAACAAAAAAGTGCTTCCTTATTGATATGGCAGTCGCTGCAGACTGCCATGTATCTTTGAAGATATTCAAAAAGCTGTCAGAATACAAGAACCTTGAAATAGAAATCTCAAAAATGTGGCATATGGGAACGTCAAGAATCCCTGTTGTAGTTGGAGCCCGAGGATTGGTTGGAAAAGATTGCAGTAGACTAATTGAAGGGATTCCTGGAAGTCCATGCCTCAAGGAGATACAAAAAATTGTTCTGACAAGTACAGCCCACACTTTACGAAGGGCTTTATCTATGTAATTTTTTTCCCTGTCAGTGGAAAGTGACATGATGCCATTTCTAACCTTAGATCCCTGGGCGGGACCCGGAAACAAATGTGTAAACGCCTGGAATCAAAGGAAAAAAAGTAATAATAATAATAATAATAATAATAATAATAATAATAATAATAATAGTAGTAACAACAGCAACGACGACGATAGAACCTGTAACAATTTTATGGGACTTTACAAAACCCACAGACATAACAATCAAAGCTAATCGCAGGGATATCATGAACAATGGCCACAAAAAGAGAACGTGTATTGTATCGTATCGGGGAAGATCTCCCCCAAAAACTATCAAAATACAAGGACCTTGAAGTGGAAATCTAAAAAATGTGGCGCATCAATACTTCTGGTTGTAGTTGGAGCCTCGGGTTGATCAGAAAAGGTACCGATCGACTCGACGAAGGGATTCCTGGTAGACCATGCTTTAAAGAAATACAAAATTTATAACTGCAACTACAGCTCACACGTTACGAAGAGCTGTATATATGTAAAATATGTGTGATTTTAGGTGGGAGTTGTTTAGTTTATTTTACAAAACTGTTCAGTTAAAAATGTCAAGATGACATTTCTGACCTTAAGTCCCTGGTTGGGACCTGGAAGGAAATATGTATAGAATAGAAATCAAAGAAAAGAATAATAACAATTATATTTATCATTGACACTTTCTTCGTTAGTTTATTAGTTCAAACGACTATTACACCCTACGAATACCTCATAAATAATGGAGTATTCCGTTTTATTCCGTGAGAAGACAAATAACAAATCAAAGCGGTTACTTGTTTTCGATGAGAAAATGAAAGAAAGTAAGAAAGAAAGAAGGAAAGAAAGAAAGAAAGAAAGAAAGAAAGAAGTGAAGATAGATGTCTTTAACGTCTGTTTCAGTGAAATGAAAAATGTTTTCAAATCCTTTTAATTGTACCTCATTACTTCTTGAAATAACAACCAGCATTCATATTTATGATTCTTATTGCAATATTTTGTTAAAGTTGTTAAGTTCAACGATGTGATAGGGGGAATTATACGGTTATTTTATTGTCGTTGAACTCTCCAGGACTTTTTCAATCATTAATTGACGAATTAAGTTTCATCAGAAATTTAAAATAGAAAAAAATCATTAAACTTTCACAGGTTAAAACTAATAATAATAATAATAATAACAGAAGAAGAAGAAGAAGAAGAAGAAGAAGAAAAAGAAAAAGAAAAAGAAAAAGGACAACAGCAGCAACAGCAAATAATAATAATGACAAAGAAGACAATACGCATATGAAAAAGAAATGGTTGAGACAGACAGAGACCTGAATGGTGGTCTCGAGATAGCAACGGAAAAGTAAGAGAATATAAGTAAGTGATAATAGAGAAAAAAAGGAAAAAAAGAAGGCAAGAACAGCAAGAAATAAGACAGGCAGCAAGAAACGAAAAAAAAAGTGTGAAAATAAGGGTAGGTAACAAATGAACGAATGGAAAATACGAAAAGCAGAGATATGCAAAATAAAAAAGAAAAAAAAAGCGAGAATGATTTTAACGAGAACATCGATGCAACAATCAAGGAACAAATATTTGAATACTTCTAATGGTTTGAATTCGTGCCAAATAAGAAGATCGATGTATTGATTTTGCCGTAACGATAGCCCACAGTCAGCCATGGAGTTCCACAGGGCTGCGAGGTTTTCCAATAACCGAGAAAGACGATGGCGTTGGAGAGAAATTTTAAATTGAGATACGATCCTCTCTGTGAAATTACCGACTCTTATAAACGTCTGGATATCACATGGCGAGAGATGAGAACAAAGAACTTACTTGTACATGTAAGGCACAACTGATATAAAGACAGAAATCCGAGTGAATATTCGACAGGAGCCTTGTTTAATATCTGTTTATATCTCTGAGATTAGGTATTATGATTACTTACATTATTTACCGAGTATATCAGATCATTTTCTGATCATCGTGAGGGCTCCAACAACAACCAGAATTATTGATATCCTCATGTGCCGCATTTTTTAGATTTCCGCCTGTATTTTGAATATTTTGAAGGTCTTTAAAGATACATTACAATCTGCAGGGACTCATTACTATCAGTATTATTAAAATTATTATTATTATTATTACTATGTTTTCTTTTCTTTTTCTTTTTTTTTTTTTGTTGTTGTTTAGCATGAGTTGGCCCCAAGTCTCAACCAGAGACTTCAAGAGACAACATTGCATCAGATGCAAGTAGAGGATTTGCCGTGCAATCGGTGTGGGGGGGGGTGTTTGGAAATGGAATTTTGCTCGTTGTATGGAGTGAAATCTAGGCAAGGCGTGGGAAGTAAATACGGACATGATTTACTCATAGGCATATTTAAAATCTACGAAAAATTTGATTCGCAAATTTGTTAACCTATTTTGATATCATTACCAAAGCCACAATAACAGCAAGGAATGTTTTCTTTTGTGATGGCCTTGTATTTACTTATTTCCACAAACCTTTTCAAAGAAGTGTTTTTTGTCGGCAACAGCTGACTATTTTTATTATTGTGTGTGCTATCATCTTGCTCGAGAGTCGTTTTAAGTGCCTAATTACCAATTCTCCTCCGGGATTTATGAGTAGAAAAGGCACTATAGGAGATTTATCTATGCACATTTGGGACCTTTCGTTTAGATGGAAAGGGTTTTATAAATGATATATGCATTTCAGCACAAAGTAATTTTTTGCAGCTCTAAGATGCTGATGTGTCCAGGAATTTTAGTCAGGGGCATTGGGTATGATAAAGAAAGCTACATAAATCGTTTAAATTGGGATAATTGTAGCTTTAAGTTTCCACATATTTGTTACTTTTTCACAATTTTTGAAATTCTTTTCTTTATTTTTTTTTAATGAAAGTTACTAGAATGCAAAATGTTACAGGGAGTGAGAGTGAAATAAAATGGTCAAACTGAAAATGGGGTGAATTGAGGAGAGGGCAATAAAGGAACAGGTTTCAAGAAGACAGATGATGATGATTGACGTTGCATTTAAATTTTTGAAGAATGCGGTCATCAGGGCAGCAAGAATCTGAAATTATTATTATTATTATTATTATTATTATTATTATTATTATTTTCTTTATTTCTGGCGTTTACACATTTCTTTCCGGGTCCCGTCCAGAGACCTAAGGTTAGAAATGGCATCATGACACTTTCCACTGACAGGAAAAATAATTACATAGATAAATCCCTTCGGAAAGTGTAGGCTGTACTTGTCAGAACAATTTTTTGTATCTCTTTGAAGCATGGACTTCCAGGAATCCTTTCAATTAGTCTACTGGAATCTTTTCCAACCAATCCTCGGGCTCCAACTACAACAGGAATTGTTGATGTTCCCATATGCCACATTTTTGAGATTTCTATTTGAAGGTCCTTGTATTTTGACAGCTTTTTGAATATCTTCAAAGATTTTGAATATCTTCAAAGATGAGTATTATTATTATTATTATTATTATTATTATTATTATTATTATTATTATTATTATTATTATTTCCTTTGATTTCTGCTGTATACACATTTCATTCCGGGTCCCAATCAAAGACCTAAAGTCAGAAATAGTCATATTACATTTTCTACTGGCAATTTTAGTAAAAAATAAAAACAAAGAAAAAATGAAGATCACATATACTTTATATAGATAAAACTCTTGGTAATGTGCGAGCTTTACTTGAGAGTAATTTTTTTGCATTTCTTTAAAGCATGGACCACCAGGAATCCCTTCAATGAGTATAGTGAAACCTTTTCCAATCAATCTGAGAGATCCAATAACAACTTTCTTTTTCTTTCTTTTTTTACCTCATTTTCTGATCTTTTCATTTAATTCGCTTTTATTAACTTTCCATTCTTAGCTCTTCAGTTCTTCATTTTAATTCGTTCCTTCTTTCTTCCTTTCTATCCTTCTTTCTTCCTTTCTATCTTTCTTTCTCCCTTCTTTCATTCTTTTTGTCTGTCTTTTGTCTCTTTTTTTTCTTCGCTTCATTTATTTAGCTTTCATCAACCTTACATTCTTAGTCCTGTTCTCTATTTTCCTCCTTAATTCCTTTATTCCATCCCGCCTTCCTACCTTGCTTGATATTTTTTTCTTTATTTTTTCTTTATTTCTTTGTCTCATTATCTCATCTTTTAATTTATTTAGCTTTCAACAACCTTCTCATCTTAGTTCCGTTCTTCATTTTCCTTCCTTTGTTCTTTTGTTCCTTTCCTCCTTCCTGCCTTGCTTGATATTTATTTATTTATTTATTTATTTATTTATTTATTTATTTCTTTCTTTCTTTCTTTCTTTGTCCCACTTTTTCTTCTACGCTTCATTTTTC